ATATATATATATATATATATATATATATATATATATATATATATATATATATACATTTTTTCCCCCTTTTTCATAAACACATTGGTGAGCTGGACTGAAGTCACCCGCGGGCCAGAAGTAGTCCGTGCGCTGCCAGTTGAATAGCCCTGATTTAGAGCATTCATATCGGATTTACAAATAAATTCAAATGTTGTGGAATATTATGCCCAATTTTTTATTTCTGCTAACAGAAGGCAAAGGTGGGAAAAAATATTTCTACCTATGACTGTGTGCGAGTGCTAACCCTAACCCCAACCTTAAGCCTGTTTGTTACTTAAATATGACTCCAACCAATGAACAAACTTTAATGGAACTTTCATTTAATCAATGGCTAGATGTACATCTACAGCTGAATAACTTTTGATGTCAACATAACTCAAGATGACCATGACTGCTAACTGACCTGAAAAAATACAAAAACAGCTCAAGTTCAGTCAGTTTGGGCTAATGAAGCTAATGTGCAGAGATTGTAGCTGAATGTCATTACAACACACACACAACTATTGTTCAAGATCTTTGCCATAAACCTTTGTGTTAAATGCCCTGATGCATGCTCAATAATCCAGGTAGATAAATCTAATAAGATTAAATCAGTCCTCTGGACAGATTCTTCTTGTTGAAGAAGAATCTGTCCAGAGGACCTGACTCAACCTTGTTATACTTTGTGTTAAATGTTCACAGAGACCTTATTTGTCTGTTAGTAAAATATCTCATGAACCACTGGACATGACTGAATTCTAATTAAATTTTCAGAAAGTAAAAACAATCATTAGATATACTGTACAAGTACAGCAGATTAACATTTGGAATCAGTCCAATTCAAGATGGCTGCCACAGGTAATCATGCTTTTCCAACACAAAAATGTATTTAAATCAGATAATGAGCTAACATTTGATGTGATAGTAGCAGGGAGTCTTTCACAGAACATCATCAGTATCAGATTGCAATATAATTTTCTCAAGGTTGGTCCAAAACGACTCCAATTTTGTTTTTTCTCAAATTAAAAGAATCTCAGTGTAAAATTCTGGCACGAGAGGCGACGTGTCATATGCATTCTTTGAAGAAATGTTGGGCCTTCATTTAAAAAAGTGAAATGATTGTGCATCATCAATATTTATATGGTTACCAGATAGAATAAATAAAACACACCTTCTCCTTTCCCATATTTGGAAGATGGGAGCCATGAGACGGCCTTCAGGTAGCCCAGCTCCCTGCAGACCACCTGAGCAGCGTGGATGTTGAAGTCGTCATCGCAGATGGTGCCCCACGTACCATTGTAGTAAACCTCCACACGACCTTCATTATGTTTCCTTTTCTCTCCCGCCAGCCTCAGCTGAATCCTGGGTGTGTCTGGAGCCAGCACCGGGGGGGTGAAATGTTCCTGCTCTGGCTCAAGGTAAGCCAGTGGGTAGACAAGGTGCTCAAACTGGGCATGGGCCAGTTCCAACAGCATGGACAGGATTGCGATACAGATGGATGGTCTCTGGGGAACCAGCATCCTGAAGGGTACTGTTGAAAACCTGATGACAGGTGGACACGTGTTAAAAACCAACATCTGTTTTGGAAATAAAGTTGAGGTAAGGCTGATAGCTAACAGCTAGTGTGAGTGCAGCAAAATCAAAGTTGTCATTACAAAACATCAAATTTTTAAACTTTCCAGCTGTTCAAGCAAATATTATTACTGCCCGATTTCTGCTTATTAGTGTTGTAGTCGATCACCCCCTGAGGGATTTGAATGTTTGTAGTTTTTGAGTTGAGTGTTTTTCTGGACTAAAGTTAGAGAATGAAAGAACTAAGGTTTTGGGTAGGAGTTCCACTGGAGAGGAGAGACAGAGGTTTGGTTTTGTTGCGTATCAGAAGCAGCACAGAGTGACAGATCCTGGAGAGTAAAGGGAAACATTTATCACCACCAGAGGCAGTGGAGCAGCTGTGTGTGTGTGTGTGCGTGTGTGTGTGTGTGTGTGTGGGGG